CTCCCAGGCTGCAGCCCCATACGCTGGTGCCTGGGACTGTGGGGCATGTGGCTTGTCCCTCTCCTGGGCCACAGGCACAGGCGCAGCCACTGATGCCCAGGACCATAGGGCAGGTGGCTTGTCCATCTCCCAGGCTGCAGGTGCAGACTCAGCTGCTGGCGTCTGGGACCATGGGGCAGGTGACTTGTCCCTCTCCCAGGCTGCAGCCCCTGATTTTCTAATTAAATTCATGAGCTATGAGTCCTGGCAGATAGCATCCCAGGCTGCAGGTGCAGGCTCAGCTGCTGGCGTCTGGGACCATGGGGCAGGTGGCTTGTCCCTCTCCCAGACTGCAGCCTGGTTGAACCCCATTCCTCTCTCGCGAGCTCATTTGTTCCTGGCTGGTCGCCATTCCTCTCTTGCAAGCTCATTTGTCCCTGGCTGTTTCCCATTCCTCTCTAGTGAGCTCATTTGGGCCTGGCTGGTCCCCATTCCTCTTTCCCCAGTGTTGAGTGTCTGAGCTATTCAGGTGTGATGGCATGAGGGCATGATGACCATTAGCATATTAGCTCTTTATTATATAGGATATATATATATATCCTGGAAGAATATGGGACATGAAATAATAATAGGTATCATGCAAAAAAGAAAGAGAGGAAGAAAGGGGAGAAATAGAGTGAAAGATACAGAGACAAAGCAAGAAAAGAGAGAGAGGAAATGAGAGAGGAGAAGAAAAATGAAGAGAAGAAAGACAATTATGAATCTGATGCTATAATGATGTTGGACAGTTCTCAATCAATTTAAGAACTGCCATTTCTACTTCTAGTCAAGATGGCAGCATAGGTAAACGAGATACTTGAATCCTCACACAACCACATCAAAATTACAACTACAGAACAACCATCATTCAGAACTGCCTGAAATCTAGCTAAATGAAAGTCCTACAATCAGAGATTTAAGGAAGAAGCCATACCAAGACTGGTAGAAGGGGTGGAGATGTGGAACAGGCTGGTCCTACATCCATGTGTGATGCTTTAAGGTTGGGAGACATATCTTGGCTATGGAAGTCCCTCTGGAGGAGCAAGAGGTCCCAGTCCCACACCACACCTTCCAGCCTAGGGATCCAGGGCCAGGAAGAGAAGTTCCCCATAACTTCTGGCTGTAAAAACCAGCAGAGATTGTGGCTGAATGAAATGGAGAGCTGCTGAAGTCCCAGGCAGTTCCTCTGAAAGGGCCCATGCACAGACTTACTTGGACTCACTCCCTCTGAGATCCAGTGGAGCAGCAGCTTGAAAGGAACCAGGAACATACCGGGAGGAACTGAATTGTTCAGCATCAGGGTGAGAGCTGGGGAAGGCAACTTTCTGCTAGAAAAAAGGCTGGCAGAGGCCAATGTTCCTTTTCTGAGCCCACCCCGACAGCACCAG